AGGCTAATCACCAGAACCATTGTTTCTGTCCGTTTCAAACTGATATCATAGAACATTATCAATCATTTGGCATTAACTTGGTATCAATATATTAATGTAACAGCTTAGACATGTAGGATAATGTTAAGGAAATATGTTTAATTAACACTAATGGGTATGTACAGCCAGTATATTTAGATTGACCTAGGGTTAGGCTGATCTAAATGCTAGGGGTGCACCAAACCATATTGGCCGATACTGATCCAATTCCAATTTGCAGCCAGGCAACATGGAAAGCAGTGTTTGTCTGGTAAGTCTGCTGTGCAGGAAGGGGCGAGGGGGGAGGAAAGGGGCATGGGATGGGGAAGATTGAGGGCCCCATAGCGAGGGAGGGAGTGGGACTGGAGCTGGGGCAGGTGCTGCACAGCCAGGACAGAGTGGAGGATGGAGCCATGAGCAGCTCATCCAGGGATCACGTGGGGGTGGGGGCAGCTCCTGTTGCTATGCATACCTCAGGAGGGTGTGCCCCCAGATGTGCATGCGGGGCAGGGCAGGCTGGGGCCAGTGCGGTGCTGGGCTCTTCCCAGTGTGGGGATGGACTGGGCTATGCTAGGGGCAGGCATCAGAGGTGCTGGGATGGGGATTATGGGGGGGCTTCAGCTACCCCAAAATTTGCTGTACCCCTTCCCAATCCTCCCTCCCAGAGACACCATTGCCTGCCATGAGCACAACCCTGGGCCAACCCCTGTCAGGAAAAGTCTGGCAGTCCCCAGCTTGCAGTGGCAGCCTGCCCTTGCCCTGCACAGATCTGGGGGCATGCGCCCCCCATGGCATCTCAGGGTATGTAAAACTTCAGGAGCCACTTCGCCCCCCACCCCTTCCCCTGGACAAGCCACTCCCAGCTCCATTCTCTGCCCTGCCCCAGTTGTGCAGTACCTGCACCTGACCCAGACCCACTCCCTTTCTCACTTTGGGGGTCTCAATCTGCGACCCCCCTCTCCACACTCCTTCCTTCACAACAGTCTTACCAGCCAGACCCAGCTGCTCTCCATGCTACCGGACTGTGTTGCTGGCCACCTGTGTGCTGTGCTGCAGCTGTGCGCATGTATGGGGCATTTATCACTGGCATTATCAGCCGCATCAGCCAAAGAATGTTGATTGCTGATACAGTCAATTTTCTTTATATCAGTGTGAATCTGATATGGGACCAATGTATTGGTGCACCTCTACTAAATGCCCATCTGCGCAGGAATTCAAGATGATTTAAATCACTCCAAAAGTGTTTGGCCCAGTCTAAGTTAGTTCACCTGAGGAGGAAGAACCTAAACCAGGGCTGGGCAAAATGGCAGATCCGACCAGTGGCCAGACTCTATCTCCCAGCAGCCTCTGCCCATGCCACTGTGGCAAGTTTCCATGGAGGCCACAGGAGCAGTGTGGCCATGACAGTGTGGGGCCAGGATTTCCATGGAGACCAGCCCTCCAATGCTGGCAGGACATGCAACTGAGCAGGGAGCTCTTCTGGGCCCAGGATCTTGTACTGACATCATAGTCCATAGCTGGGGCAGAGCTGTGATCTGTTGCCTGCACAATCCTGTAAGATCCCAGCCCTGGAGTTACACACCCTGCCAGCACCATGCTGTCCTAGCCCTGCCTTTCCTGGGGTCTCCATGGAAACCAGCTTCAGCAGCATAGGCAGGGGCTGCTGGTAAATGAAGTCTGCCACGGGCCCAATCTGGCCTGTGGGCTGCACTTTGCCGTCCCCTGAGTTAGCCCAATCTATTGAATGCCTGTGTGTGTTTGGAGTATAGCCCCAGGGCTGGGAAAGCCCTAGGGTTGTGTTCTTACTGTGCCCCCACCCCCACCCAGGCTGGGCTATATTTAGCCTCCCAGTCCTTCAACTCGTGATGGACATCCTCCCTCCAGACACCCAATCCCACCAACCACCTACTCCCCCCGGACCTGCTAACCCGTGTGGACCCTATACGTGCCACTCCCATTCAGAGTTCACACATCTTAGAGGTAGACCAAGTGTAGCAAATGGCTGTGTGCACCCAAAGAATTTACTCTTCGGAAGAAGAAACAGAGGTATGTGCAAGTAACCATAATGATTCTGTTCATCAACTCCCTTGTATTTTTTCAACTTCACTAATACAGAGAACCTTATTTTCACCAATCTGTAGCATATAACATTCTTTTAGTTCCTTTACTTGAAGCTGCCAGGTCTTCATGGCTAAGCAGGACAAACATGAACTGCTAGTAGGAGGGAAATGACAATTTCCCTCATCCAACAAAACCTTCCATACTGTAGTGGCACCAACTCAGCCCTGCATAGTTTACTCCACCACTTATAATAAGTCTTTCTGCCTCAACCACCTGGAAAGGCTAGAGGAATAAGAAGCGAGTCAGAGTGCACTGCAGTATCTCTGCAAAAACCCCCATTATCAAGGAATACCTATAATAGTAGACTGTGGCCGAATCTACACAAGATGCTGACTGCGCAGTAGCTCAGTAGCTCATTATTACTGTACAGTAGTTCATTTCTATTGTGCAGCATCTCGTTATTATTGCTCCGTACCATTTCATGGCATGAAACATGATGTGACACCAAATCATTTTGGAGTCCGAATCACCAAAAAGCCATGCGGTGATGCTACTGTGCAGTAACTCTGATTACTGTGCAATCATCTAGTAGCTGTGTATGCAAGTACTAAATGACTGTGCATTAAGAACTGCGCAGTCAGCATCCTGTGAAGATGTGTTCTGTGCATTCAAGTTGGAGGAATACAACCGTTATCCTGCTTTCTATGCCTGGGATGAAGCAAAAGTCATTTATAAAGAATACAAAGGGATTCTTCTTTAGTGACGTTGTTGGATGAAATGAACCTTTAAATCCCAGTAGTTTTCTAGCTTAGAAGCTAATTAACTAGAGTTAACCAGAGTTTTTGATTATGTAAACTGATGTAGGGAACTGTACCGAAGCACTGATTTTAAACCTGCTGGGGATCTAGGCCAGCACACTGTGTTGACTCTCACCAAAGAAAGTCTCCTTTCAGTGTAGCCTTGGTGGCTACCAGCACTCACTAAAATAAAGCTGTCTAAGACAGCTATGTATGTCCCCCTAAGTACTACACACTATCTAACAAAACTTGATGCTTGCTTAACTGGTAAAGAAAAGAGTACCCTGTGTTTTATATGACCTAATGATTTGTTATGGGTCTGGTTCAGTCATTTTGTGTCTATGGGGAATGACTGGCTATTTCTTTCATTTGTTGTTGTTGTTGTCGTCCTATTAATCCTTTTCCACACTTTCCCACCCTATGAGTGAAGTTTTTACATCTCCACCTGGGTGCATTACTTGCTTTCCATATTAATGCATTGCTTGTTTATTCTGGTTCTAAACCCTGCTTCATACTGGGGCTTCTCTCTTTTTAAGGATGCTTATATATAAGAAACAGAGCCACTGTAATCCATGAAGGTAGGGTTATTACTGAGTGAAGGGTGGCCCATTCCTGTTGCACTTTCTAAATTTAGAAACAAATCCTTTCTTTTCCCATACATGATTTATTTCTTTTCATTTCCACCAGACTAAAACTTTTGCTTCTTTATATTTCAGTTTCTGCTATTCCATGAAGGAAGCTAGCACTATTCCTCTTCATCAAATAGACACATTACAGACTCCTCTGTTATAATATAGACTTGTTCATTCATGTGAAGCCATTCTGAATTTCACATGTAAGACAGGTCAGCTGGGATAGGTAAAATGTTAATTATAGGAAAGAGAATGAAATGTTGGAATACATTTAAACTTTCTCTTTCATCTCCATGAAGTGATTGAGGATTATTTCACATTAAAGGGAGAGAAATGTTATTTTTAAAATCTGAACTGGAGCCTCTCTCACATGGATCACTTCCTACTGAGAGGAAGTAGCAGCAGTAACAGCTTTGTAAAAAGAGACAAGTGGTAGCTAAAGCCAAGTACACTCTGCATAGCTTTGGGATGAAGAAAATAAAGCTTTTAAAAACAGTGGATACTTACGTACAAAAAAGAATACTAACTGCTCCAAAGTTCAGGAGCTGCATAAACCAGCATCACGAAATGTGTCTATATAATTGTAATTATATTGTATATAATTTTCTTATTTCTTATTTTTGCAGCACAGAAAAGCATTTTTATGTTTATCACATACAATATTTAGACATGGGTCGAACTCTTGGCCCCACTGAACTCTGGGGATTTTGCCATTGACTTCCATTAGGCTAGGATTTTACTCCAAATCTCCACACTAAAATTCTTACAGTTTTTTATATGAGTTCATGATATGGGGAATGAAACAAGGAATGAAAGGGAATAAAAGGGATTTATGGCAATAAGACCTTTTAGTTACTCCACTTAGATGCACACAGATCAGAGTGATTCAATAAAAGTAATTTGTTCATGCTGGAGAGCAGTTTTTGGTTTCACAATAGAGAAGAATGAACCACCCAAAACACCTAGTGTCTGGTTTATATTTCAGAAAAATGTCTGTTAATTTTATACCTCTACTCACTTTGTAGCAGGCTAACTAGATATTATGTAAAAGAAAAATTTTTTTTTGTCAATTTAAAACTAGCAAATTAACTGTTTTTAAATTTAATTTACTATCTGCTGGTTATTTATATGTAATATAGATATAGAGGAGGTCTCAACTGCTCTTTCTCAATCCTTTCATTATTTTAGATGTCATTTTTAGCTAACGTTTAGCTAGAATAAGGCTAAAAAATTTGCACTATTAACATAGTACAAGAAAAAATATTTGTGGTTGGAACAGTAGCTCAGCTTATCTTTTGTAGTGAGGTCTTTAGAATAGGATCACCAAGCTGATGGAAATCATTAGAGAACAAGGACATTGTGGCAGTGCACTGTGTGTGCCTGCCACTTTAAGGGCCTGGAGCTGGCAGCCTCCAGGTGCCTGACGAGGGCAGCCATTTTGAGACATGGGCTGCCTATATAAACAGGGCAGTTTGGCTGCAGGAGGCCAGGCAGGAACATTGTCTGGTCGGAGGGCTGCTGAGAATAGCCCGGAGGTAAGGGGGAGCTGCAAGGGGATGGCAAGAGGGTCCTGGTCCTGGTCCTGGTCCTGGTCTGAAACTGCACCCTGCCGGGAGTGGGTGGTCTGGTGGGGCTCTCAGTGGTGCGGGAGCCCCAGGAAATGCCAGGCCAGTTACCACCCTGGTGAAAGGTGGGTCGGGGCGCCTTAACCCCTAGCCCCCACCACCACCGGGTGGGTTACCCTTGAGTTTGTTGGAGGGCCTAGAGGGCCAGTGTTGTGAGGGGCCCAGAGAAGGCGGACCCCGAGAGTGGGAGTGATGTGGGCGTGGTGCTGCGGTTGCCCCCCGAGAGGATGGGGAGTAGTGGCACGGTGAGGCCCAGTGACAGAGTGAGAGACTAGAGAGACCCAGCCCGAAGGGGAGAGTACCCTTGACTGGCCCAAGCTGGGGCCAGGACTACGGTAGTCAGAAGGGCCGGGGGCCCACCGCGAGGGATAGCCAAGAGCCGGGGGCCTGGGGTCCCGACTGGCCTGGAGGTGGGCCAGGGCAAGAGGCCGAAGGTTCCGGGGGAACTACACCCGGGAAGGGAACATGGCTTCAGGGGGGCTAGGTAGCCCAGATGATGGCGGAGTGGCCGCCTGAGAGGAAAGGATCATGGAGGGGTCCTGTACGGATGATTCTGGGGCCCAGTGTGGGGCCGGTGATTATAGCAACACCATGATGCCATCTGCGAGGCTTGGGCTGCGGTATTAGGGGAGGTCGGAGCCGCAGAGCGCCCCCTGGCATCGGGGCATTGCAATGGGCAGCCTCCTGCTTAATTAACATCTTAATTGAATTTATTATCATCAAAGGCGTGGCGGGGGAGATAGGCGGGCGGTTGCCCAGAGACAGGTGGGTGGGCTGTGGAGATCGGCCCCGAGATGGCCCCCTGTCACAGACATGTTAAACTCAAGTTATGGAGCAGCAAGTCACAGAGTCAAGGAAGATGTATTGTTAAGGGATGGTTCTCAGAGGGATTGTGACATTTTCAAAGTCTGGTGCAAAGTGAGAATATGGGGTTCTTTAGTTTCATAATCATAGTGTAATGACAAAGAAAAGAAGTCCATTGTGCCATATCAAAATAATACAAAGTTAGAAAAAACATTTAGTGTAATCGTTCACAGGCAATTCATTCAAGAAATGAAGTCCATTAGGGTTGAACCTGGCACATTTAGGCATTTGGACATTTTCTCTACATTGTTGTTATGAATACACAGAGGAGATCACACTCTTTACAGACAACTTAAAAAGAGAAAGAATTGGTTTTATTTCTCATGGTCTTTTAAAGCCTGATGTATGTACACTGATAGCTAATTGACAACATATTTTATCTACAGCTCAAGGAACTTTATGGTTTCTGTATTATGAATTAATAAAAAAGAAAAGAAGCAAACCTCAAGAATGAGTTTGCAGCACACAGTAAAATATACATTAAAGGCCACTTCTAATGGGTCAGCACTTTGGTTCATTAATGTTTTTGCTAACACTAAAATACACTCGATGTTCTCAATGTATGCATATTCATTACAAGTTTTTAACTCATTTTCTTCTTTTGCCCTTTTTGTTTTGTATTTCTGTGATGATTTGCAAAGAAATCTGCCAGCTGGATGGTTCACCAAAATGGCCAATTTTAAAATACTGCAGCAGAATGTTAATTAAAGCAAATTTCAGTTTCAGTCATCTTTATTTGCATTTGAAACCTAATTTTAAGCATTTCTTTTCTCCAAAAAGGAAAAAGAAATGCATTGCATAACTGGTATTCAGAGAAGCTTGAGTTTTCAATAGCAAATGTTCTAACGGAATTATTTTTTTACATTAGCTATTTTGTGAATAAATCTAAATAATAAATACACTGGAGAATTTCAGGGGTCTAGGTTCTAGCCGTGTTGGTCTAAGGACATAGGCAGACAAGGTTCTTTGGGTAAATCTGGTATCTTTTATTAGACCAACTCAAATAGTTTGAAAAATTCTTCTTTGCAAGTCTTTGGGTATAAATACCCTTCATCAGAATCAGGAAACATCTGCAGTTGGTGTGTGCTCTTCCTGGATGTAATGAATAGTCAAGAAGCCAGAGGCTATTCATTCCATCCAGGAAGAGCACACACCAACTGCAGATGTTTCCTGATTCTGATGAAGGGTATTTATACCCAAAGACTTGCAAAGAAGAATTTTTCAAACTATTTGAGATTATCTAATAAAAGATGCCAGTTTTACCCAAAGAACCTTGTATAGAGATCATGAACTTATCCAAACAGATAACTTAAAAGTAGTTGCCCTGTCAACTGACTTCTATTTTGTTGTTCCCTTGTTGATGATGAACTCCCCAAAGCTGCAATTTAGCAAACTGAACATTGTTCTTCATAGAGCATTTACCAGCATTTTCACAGCTATCTGTGATCAGATACTAATGACGTAGCAGCTTTTTAAACACAAATAGTGGTCTAAATTAGGAAGTTGGCCTGTAGTTTTCACAAGTCATTAGCAATAGCATTAGTAAGTAGTATTCGTGATGTAGAAGCCTTTTAGGTTGCTTTTAAATAAATACTTTTTTAAGTTTGATTTCTGATATTGTTGATGGATCTACATCAGGTTGGGCAAAATATGGCCTGCAGGCTGGATACAGCCTGCAAAGGGACTTTGTTTGGCCCGCGGCCCAGGTGCTGTCCAGGCCATGGTGTGTCCCACTGCCCCTTGGGCATGCAGTACAGCTGGAGCAGCTCTGCAGCCAGGCTCCCCTTTTTAGGAAGCCCAGGAAGCAGTGGCTATAGGCTGCCACCACCACTGGCCCTAGCCTTGTGGTAGTGATGAGGACCCACATGCACAACCACGACCCCAGCCCACCCCGCGCCCACTCTGGACTCAATCTGGCAGAGTGGACCAGCTCTGGACCAGTTGGAACCTGCATGCACAACCCCAGTCCCAGCCTGGCCCTGCTCCAGACTCACCTGCCTGCACTGACAAGTGGCAGCAGTGACGGTGGTAAGGCAGAAGCTACTGCTTGGTGTGAGGGGAAAAGTGGCCCTTCCCCTTCACAACTGCCAGGCCCTCCTTTCTGCAGCTGCCCAGAGCCCTCACCTGGGCTGTCCTGCTGCTCTTTGGCACTGTCACTGCTGTCCTGCTGGGCAGCCCTGGAGATGGCAGTGATGGTGGTGGAGAGGAGCTGCAGGGCACCCCGTGCACAGGCTCCAGGCAGCTGCAGCATGAAGGGCCTGGCAGTTGCATAGTGTGAGGGGAGACTTCTGAATGTTTGGGAGTGATGTGGATATTATGGGCTAGATTAACTACTCTGCTCAGCTGCTTGAGTACATACAGACATTATACTTAAACAGGTCTAAGTAAATGTAGATCAATCTAAACCCATAACCATACAGAAGTTCAGTGCACATCTGTGAAAACAGCCTAACATAGACCTCATCTGAGGCACACTCAATTGAGATAGATTCAGGTTAGACCAGTGTACCAAACTTATGTATTGTTTCCCTATCAATTCAAATTAGATCACTATCCTATGGCATCCCAACCTCCTTTGCAGCCCCTACTATGTCTCTCTCACAGGGAGGTGTACTAGCACTTGGTCCATGCTCAGTTGTGTTGGCCAAGCACCTAGTATAGAATAGTGAAAGTCCACACGTGCGCCATATGACTAGAGGTAAGAAGTTTCTACAGGGTTTGAACTCTCAACCTTGATGAAGTCATGACCTGCTTTTAAAGTCTGGGCATGAACAGTGTATAATGGTAATGCAACTATTTATCAGTGTTGATATGTTCATTACTAAGGCAGTTATAATAATGTTGCTTGTATTGAGTTGAAATAGTTTGAATTGATTGGTCCTTTTAAGTATTGCCCAGGTTTCAATTTGATTAGGTATTGTGCAAAGGGTGATGATTGGACCACTGGGTGAGTGACAGGTGGCATGATTAGAAGGCTATAAATCCTGTCCAGAGCAGCCAGCAAGGGCTCGGGCTCGGCCTCACTCTCACTCTGGCTGGACAGTTCTGATTCCAGGCTCTTGGGGTTGGGAGTTTGTCAAGTGTAGGTTCCTTGCTCACTAGTCATTCAGATTGAGCTTGCTGAGGCTTACCTGTCTTGCACTCTTTTCTTTGGGCTTTGGCTGTGGAAACTGTAGTTGGGTAACAACTTTCCCTTTCCCTATTTGAGGTGCTAAGTACCTAAGAAAGGGAAAAGCCTCAGGGACTGTCAGAGGATTTCTCCTGATGACTAGGCCCAGGGTGTTCTTGACTACCATCTGTGGTTTCTGGGTTGTCTGTGAAGTTGCATAGCAGTTACTGTGTAGTGACCAAAGTTCATTGTAATGTGTAGTTGATTAGTTGTGTGACCGGGGATGCTGGGTTTGGGATGTGTGTTGGGTTATTGTCTTGTTGAATGTATTTTATTGTGTTGTGGCTCAGGTGTTACAGGAATATTGTGTCGGGTAGTTGTTGCATGGGGTTTTTTGTGTAATATAGTTTATATTGCTCAACCTACCTGTGTTGTAGTGTGTAGCTACTCTTTCTAACTTTGAGTGGGGTCAGGCAGTAAATCAATGCTCAGGGATATTAACTTACTTTAATGCCCTGAACCTGACTACCTGTAGGTCATAGAGGATTAACGACCCTCTGGATTAATTAGTTAATTGGCATCACCATGGATGGTCCTTCACTAGCAGGCCCCATATCTGGGCTGTTCCAGTACCAGGGAAGAACAGCCCTGCCTCCAACCTCTAGCCACCTGTCAGCCACAGGCAGGAAGTGAGGGGAAGCAAGCCATCTGTGTCCACTGCATGAGTCCTTAAGCCATACCTGCACCCCCAACATTCTATCATGAAGTATCCCATGATGAACATGCAGAACCCAACACATGTTCATCATGGACTCCAATCCTGGCACATCAACACCACATCTCAGAGGTCAGAGAAGGCATCCTACAACCTGGACAGCAGCATAGTCACTTGTCCCACCCCCTTGAAGAAGGATCCATTTTGGGCAGCTCAGTTCTTGTGGGTCAGGGTGGTAGGTGGAAGAACATCAGGACTGGGCCTGCACAGAGGCAACCCTGTGATGTCCGTGGCTCAGATACTGTGTTAAGGTACCTGGACCATGTGCACCTAGAGTGCAGCAAGACTTTCTTGCCCTGCAGATACAGGGTCCAAGACTACTAGGGCTGGGAGAGCACCCACACCAGGGCAAGAAGTTTGATGCCCCTGGAAATGTCAGGAGCAGGTTAGATGTGGCCAACTGTCTCAGTGTTGCAGGTAGAGGACAATGGAAATTTATGTGCTGGGTAGTGTGGTGTTGTCAGCATCATGGGTGTCTGCTGGACACCCCTGGAAAGTTCAAGGTTGTAGGCCTCCACTGGCTAGGCCACCTCCCAGTCAATCTGGAGCAGGGGCCACACACAGCTGGATTGAGGAAGAGCCATATACTGGGGCCTGCCCCTACACACCATTCTATCCATCCATCCATTCATCTTGCAGCTTGACCCTCACCCACATGTGCATGCCAGGGCCCCATGAGCACCACTACAGATCATGGAAGACCCCATCCCATCCTCCTCTGGTAACCAACCCGTCACACAACTGGAGCCATGATGATATGTGGAATCTCATGACCATCTGGGGTGAGCAGGAGACCCAAGACCAGCTCCACAAAGAGCACTACACCAGGTATGTATTCAAGCACATTGCCCAACAGGTGCAAGTACAAGGCTGCAACAAGGCCTAGGTGCAGTGGTGGGTCAAGATGAAATGAGGGCAATTCCAGTACAAACAAGTGCATGATGCCAATAAAAAGACTGGGAGCAGGAAGTAGAGCATGCCCTTTTACAAGGAGCTGTCCTGTTTCCTCATCATGGAGAGGCTATCCCACACATGTATGGTACCACCAGGGCATAGAAGGAGGAAGGACTTGCCAGCAGGGACCCCACTGCAGGTGGAGGTACAGGAAGGCCCTGGGATGACAGGATAACCAGGTACCCAGGAGCAGGTCCCTGGGGACCACAGGGTACAAGGTCTGCTGGTGGTGGTAGTTCCTGAGGACTCTGGCCCATTGATGCTGGTCCCTGGAACATAACAGGATCTAGGAGCAGATGTGTACCTGCAGGTAGAGTTGAGCTTCCTTGGGCAAGGTCAAGTGGACAGATAATGGTGCCTAGGACCAGGGGAAAAGCTCTGATGCCATGGTCATCGCAACCTAGGACCAGGACCTCCACCTTGTGGGAGCCCTCCCTGCCCTCCTCAATCCCGTGGACTACAGCCAAACACGCAGCCCCAGGACACTATTTCCGACACTATTTCCAACACTATTCCACTCCCACTCTTACATCTCTTTGTTGTTCCCTTCTGAATATATAAAGTGTACCCTAGTCCCCCTGACTTCCAGTGCAGCAGATGCTACCACAGCACCCATGCCTAGCCTTCCTCCTGTGTTCTGATTGAAGATGAAGGCACTGAGTGAGGATGCCTTGCTTCTGAGGATGGTATGGCTCTACTGTACTCCACCGAACCATGACAGGGACCCAGGCACCAGGGAAATACAAAGCCCTTGGGGAGAAAGAGGGAAAGGGGAGGGCAGGGAGGGAGGTAGCAATGCAATGATTCCCCAACAGCCTGAAGGCCTTTATAAGCCTGTCACCAAGGTGGTCACCAAATCCATGTGGTTGATGAACACCCAGGTGCCATGGGACAAGGCAGAAGATGAGGAAGTGAGTGCTTTTCATGGCCCCATGCAGCTGGGGAAGCCTATATGGTGTAAGGTGGCAATCATCTTCTGTGGATTGATGAGGTAGGTGAAGCAGTTGGCCAGGACATTCTGGATGCCCAAACATACCTCTTGCACAGCCTGTCTGGCTGTGGACTTGCCCACACTGAACTGGTTGGTGATGTCATGGAGACTGCTGAGGTTGGCCAGCTTCAAGATGGCAGTGGCTACTCAGTTCTTCAGAGTGAAGGGTAGCCACATGCTGATGTACTGACACACAATGTGGTGGGAGGGAAGCTGGGTGACAATGTCCATGAAGCTGCTCTGGTGCATGTGGAAGGTCTGGACCCACTGTTTGTTGTCCTATGTGTCCAGTACAACCTGCTGCCACCAGCTGCTGCTGGTGGCATAGGTCCAAAACCAGTGTTCATTGGTCTGGAGGTGGTGCCAGTGGTGGTGCCTGTGTCCATTACATCCTGGGTGGCCTCATCTTCATCAGCCATGTAGAAGTTGGTGGCCTAGTCCAGGTTGTTTGATAGATGATGGGCACAGGATGTATAGCTAATCCCCAACAGGATGGCTGATAGTTGGCTCAAAATGTAGTATCTTTTGTTCAGTACTTGAATAGGCTTGTTGCTGTATCTGTGTTTCTCTAAGTATTTAAAGCTACAGAATATTGGCAGAAAATAACATTTCAATTTTCCATGGTGACAGAAAAAAATTGAACATGGTTTCTTCAAAATGAGCTATTCAGTTTGTACTCTAAAATAAATCTGCTTTTGTGAGTTGAGGACAAATGCAGAAACAGATTTGGGTGCTTTGCATATTATTGACAATCTCATTATAGCAGTTCTTCTGTTCCTACTATGACATTACTTCAATTCATCATGTTTTATGGAACTACCTGAATAATTATAGTTATGGCATCTGGAGCTGTGTGAAACATCTGACCGTCGATGAAAAGCATTCCATTTTCATAGTTTCATGGCAAAGAAATTTTACTTATTTGGAATTTTTCAGGAAGAAAGAAGATAGTTTTTATTACATATAGAATGTGTTTGGGTAGCTTTGAAATTTCAGCCAAACTATTCCTCATTTTTTCTTTTTTGTGTGTGCGCAGGGGATGGGATTCTACTGTTGAACAAAAAACTATTATAAGCCCAACTGTAGCACTAATGCATTTTATATTTTTGTTTTGCAACATGTAGACTGATGACATAATTACCAGCTTAGTGCAAGAAAGATTACATCTATAGCTCTGATACAACCACACCATGAATAGGTCAGACAGATTCCTTTCTCCATCAAAGAAAGGAAGAACTCTGGACCAGATGGTGATTCATAAGGCATCCACTCCTTATTTCTGCTTGCACACCATTGATAAAGTTGTGATTTACAGAATAGCAGTCTAATTTCTGGTCTGCCTGGTCTCTCCCCCAGGGCTTGTCTAAATATCCTAGACCTTTAATGAACAAATTGCTTAAAAAGAACATATATTGACCAATAGGGAAGGCACTCCAGTCTACATATATCTGAAGACTCAAACCACCAAACAAAAAAAGGAAATAATTTAAAGTATTTAAAAAGGAATATAAATAATGTGAGTTGATGAATGAGAAAATGTAAGTAGAATATGATTGGGGGGAGGGGTGGGAAATAAAGACCTCTATAAATGGAACCAAGTAGGCTGAAAAAATTGGAGGGGTAGAATCCCCATAATAAATTGGAAGCTAGACTAGGTGTAACAATCTATTGTAAGGAACAATCCTTCCATTAGTTACTTCATTGTAGAAGTCAGTGCCATTAACGAAATTAGGGTCTTTCTCAGCATAAGCTCTCTTGTTAGATTCAGTTATGGGACTTTTTCCATGTTTAACAAATGCTAGGTTCTCAAACATTGAACCTAAAAAAAATTGAATGGATTGTAAAGTTCAAATAGATTCAGGCATCTGATGGCTCTGAAGTGATCTATTTGTCTCATTCTTCAATGTTACAACTGTTCCAACCTCAAGAATGCATGGATGACATTAATTTTAGAGCACTTTAAGTCCAATGCAATTATGGAGTAAAAGGTTAACTGTAAAGGCACATTAACCATCTTTACAGAAGAAAAATACATTGAATCCTATCTCTATTGATGACCTGGAATGCCCCATGACTTATTTCATCATGAATTTCTTCAGATGAATTGTTTGTAAATGAATGAAGCCTTCTGAAAAAGTAAATATGTTTTAGACAGATTCAGAAAATCCTATACCAGAAGTGCTGCTTCACTAAAATATTTTGACAGTAAAACTCACCTCTCTTCCATAAATGCAAGGGCAATGTAACCAACATGGTTTCATTGTATCAAGGAGGACAAGTAATAGAAAAACGAATCAGGAGGATTTTTCAACTAGGGCATGGTTCAGAGTATTACATGGTATAGGATATGAAGGAAGCTTAGGGGTGGATTTGTGAATAGCTGAATAAGCATGAGCCTATTTCAACATCTAATAGCTACATCTAAGTCCTCTGGATAAAACCTCCCAGTGAGTGGAGGGAAGATAAATTTAATTTAAGTGGTAATGGCTGCCCTAGGTTGGCACTAAAAGAGGATTTTGCCTCTCCATTTTTTTTCCTCTCTAATCCTTTGCAAGAGACCAGGGTTTGGCTCTCAGGTTACTGCAATTAAACAATATAATAATAATCAGAATGCTCAAACCTGGTGGATGTGGGGAAATATTATCCCCATATTTTAAATGCTGGGGCAGTCAGCAGTGGTGTGACTTGTTAGAACTACATGGGAAACCAATACCAGAAGTGGAATAAAAACACAGGAATTTCAGGCTTTCAATTCCATAGAACTTAGAGTTTGTTCATGATTTTTTTTCTAGTTAATATTTTTTTCAAAGCTTTGAGCATGCATTGAATGTGAGGTTGAATAATACTGGCTTTCTTCCAAACATAGCTCAAAGCAGGCACTGCACAAATTTCCCTCCATCGGTTCTTACAGTGCCCCTCAATATACCTTTGAGCCGTGTAATAATTTGCTTATGGAACATGTATATGCAAAGTTCATTTTTATATTCCCTTACCACAAAAACAAACATGTTCAAATTTTCCCTTAAGCCTTTTTGCTTTCTCTAAAGAAAATTAAGACAAAAGCAATGCTGCCAACTCACTCAGCCAGAACTTCACTATCTCTGCCTTGGGCTACCTTAGCATCCTTCTTAAATATAATAGTTAACTGAGTGACTAATCCAGGGTTTCGGCTGCATACCCTGTTTTAACATTTCATAGCGGGACACAACCATGTACTAGCTGGCACACACCAACCCCATTCCCTGCAAAAGTCAGTTATCAGATTTCATCTGTGAATCAAATTGCATATGAAAAATATAGCTAGGGTGAACAGGATGGGCAAAGACCCAAAGAAAATCAGTACATATAAAAATGTGTGAGGGTTATCTTCCATATCAGTCTCCAACATGGTTTTGTAGGTGACTGAGTAGAAGAGGGGCAGCATGGCCTAGGGCTTGCTGCACATTTCCCTTCAACTTTTACTTCGTATTTTGCCAGCACCCTACGGTAAAGGGGCTGTGCTCAGAAAACACAGAATCTTTCAAAGGGTTTGCTTCAGTGATTCTTTGAGGACCATACTCCATTAAACTCTGGGCCCAATTGAATCACAGTTTGAACAGCCCCTGGCCCTAGTTTTGAAAGCATTGGCCACTGCTAATGAAATGATATAAAGGACAGCAGAACTAACCTTTTATTTTTCTACCTTGGACTGAGTTCTATTTAGCAACGACACGAAATTTCTATCAGGTTCCCTCCGTATGGTCCTTTCAGGCCTCCAAGAAAGGAATGAATACCAGAGCAAAGCCTTTACCCATTCAGCTTTCAGCTCTGTTAGCTTTCAATACCAGAAATGTATTTAAAACCGGGTAAGGTTTGTTAACTCTAATATACCACTGTCAGTCATCCTGATCCAAAAGAATAAAACCATATATGTGATAGGATTAGCAATTTAAATGAAACCGTTTTACTTCTTGAAAATAGGCTACTGTGGAACAAAAAAAAAAAAAAGATTGTGTAAAGGATCACATTAACCTACAGCAATAATATTATAGCAGCACTGTTCATGATGCTATAGTTAAGATTGTTCCAACATGTCTCGTCCCTCACCCCATAGCTTAGTGTTCAGGTTATTTGGCCTTAGAATTTAATACTATGTTAAAACTAGGAGGACTATATAAGGTCTCAAACCAAAAGTCAAACTGTAAGATGAAATACTGCAGATCTTTAGTCTGCAATCAGTTGCAGGGCAAATAGTTGTTTTCTAAAACCCTGAAAATACCCATGTGAGGTACTGTATGTGAAAAGAAACTGTTGCTTATGCATCATTACAGAATCATAATGTTAATAAATCTGATTCATTTATTTGCACAAGGGAATATACTTTCTCACTTTCCCTGTCCTGCATGTGTATTGAGAGTAATGTAGGGGATATGAAGGTGTCTGTAAGCAAATAATAACATATTGTGTTACATTCGACTGAAACCAAATAAATGGTTATAGCCCAAATAGATGCCCCATTTAATTAAAGATACCCATATCCATTTTGTAATCACTGAGTAATCCTGTCCCTGCTTATTATCTGGAAGTGAAATTAATAACTCTGGGTTCAAGATAGCTCTAACAAAATTGCAGTTGTTATTGTAACTGTGTTGAAGTTATATGAAGCACAGTTTGTCAAGCCAACAGTTACCTGTTACTTTTAAATAGAGTGATATTCCAGCACACACAAAGCAGTTGGTTTCTGACTGTTATTTGTTATTAAAAATGGTATAACTATCATTTTCAATAATACATAACAGTCGGGAATGAACCGAAAGGGATACACCTTCCGCACCCAAGTTTTCAATTAAGCAGCTTTCATTTGGCAAAAGAAACCTAGAGCTTCATTCTTCTAAAATAACAGATTTCTCAACTATGAAAAGCAAATCTTCAATCATCTCAAAATGTTATTGTGGGAGGTGGAGGCTTAGCTAATCTTTTTGAATGCTTTCTACTTCCCTTCTAGTCTGTCATGCACTATGTATTATTATAAAGATCTACTACTTTTTCCTAAAAAGTGAGCACTGTACAAGGGGAAGAGTGAGTCTGGTCATCATCTGGGAGACAAGTGAGAAGTCCAGGATACCTGATTAAGTGCAACTTTGAATACATTGCAAAGGCATACTTTTTCTTGTGAAAACCAGCCTTCAGTTCTATACAAATGGATTTGCAGTGGAAATATAGGGTACATGGTGTGTGTTCTGTACTTGTAAGTGCACGTTATTTTAGTTTCAGGTGTAGAGTAGGTCTCAAAGGGATAATAGAGGAGAAGGACTGACTTTTAAATTGCCATATGTTGAAGGGAGAAGATTTATTTCATTATCTGCATTCTACAGAATGAGAGAGAATGTGTGCCAAATAAAATGGAAATTAGGAGTTAGGGATACAGCTTCTGAATCAGAACTTCATAGACTTTAAGTGCAGGAGGTTGCAAGTGAGAAAGGAACAGTGGAAACAACCTTGGTCATACTCAGTTCACTCTCCCCTTCATTATCCAGTCTCCCCCACTGTGTGACACAGGACACTGGGCAAGATGGACCTATGGTCTGACCCAGTAAATAGCAATTCTTATGTTCTTATGCCCTCATGGAAGTCAGCTGCTAGTCAGCTTGATATTATCATATATGTAGACTTTTTGAAATGCTTAAAATGGGCTTTGAACATGAAGAAATATACGCCCTTGATTTTAAAAAGGCAGTGGCTACTGAACACCTATTAAAAACAACAATATTGAAAATTGGCCTTGAATATTATGCATAGTTGCCATATTTGAACACACTATAAATTGGGAAAGGTCAATACCTCATGTTCTACTTGTCAGTTAAAAGAAATTTTCTATTTAAAAAAAAAAAACAAAAAACCTTGGAGCAGTTAGAATCAATTTCATCATTCTCGCTATCTCAGTCTGTCTATGTCCTAAGGGAAAGCATTTTAGGAAGCCACTGCTGACATAATGATGCATAAAGGGAAAACAGCATGATGTAAATGACTCAAAAGATTTAATTTAACTTTAATGCTAATATAGGGATGCTCCTTCATTCCTTGTTTATCCAAAACAGTTGCTGGAATCTGTGAGACTTTGGACTGCGAGAAAGGGAGGGGAAAAGGAATAAGATCAAGGTATAAAGGTGTTTTTCTTATAGATTTTTTTTTTTCCTATTTTTTCTCTTTAAATATATATCTTCAAGGAGCTTCTGTACATTTGCATTGCCCAAAGTATTTTGGTTTGTGTTAAGAAAAGAAAAAAATAGTGAATTTACTGTGTAATATAATATTGTGTGTGTGTCTGTGTAATGTAATACACATCAGTGCACGCAAATATAGATTTCTTACTTTTACTCTTTGATGTTAAAACACAGTAACAGTTTTGGGAGCAGGGACCCAAACCAAGGGCTCTTCTCTCTTTCTTATAGATGCCCTAACCATTGGACTACAGAATCATTTCCTACTCATTCTTTGTCTTTAGTCACTGAATTTGGTACACAGTGGCATAGCTTCCACAGGAGGAGTGGAGAGTGTAGTCCCACCCAGGATAACTGTGGTTCTAGCAGTCTTGTGGGTAGGGACCTATCTAAGTCACGGTGAGACAAAGGGTTTTTTGCAGGCTGTTTGTGCCATGCAGGGCTGATTGTACGGGCATTTTGCAGTGGCCCCACCCCTTGCTGCTGATTGGCATAGGAGCCCCGGTAATGCTGCTCCTCACTGCTGATTGGTGAAGGGCGTTTTCACTCAGTCTACATCACTACTTTTGGGGGGGGGGGGGAGGGGTCATTTCTTGGGAAATGACAGCCAGTGCTGAATTTCCTGGCATTGCAGGGATCATGGGCAATGCTATTTTATGCAGTTTCCCAGAAATCCACAAAACCACAATTTAGGTAGGTCCCTACTTATGGGATGTTGGAGAGGTGAGTTTGAGTCTCTCTTGACTGAAGAAGGAATTAAATGTGTGTTTACCACTTCCTGATTCAGGTTTTTGACCGCTAGGCTATTACTTAGAAGTGGGGCGCTGCTGCTTCTGCCACTGCCTCTGCTGCCACCACCACTGCTGCCACCTCTAGAACCACCATTGTGAAACAAAGTGGTATCTACAACTGCATTTTTTGAGAAGCCCCATCTGTATATGGTGAGTGCACACTGACAGAGAGGCATCTACTTCTGGATCCTGATTGATCTCGGCTACACTAAGTGTTGCACTGTAATGCTGTCATGACTTGAGATCATTTTGGATATGTGCATAAGTGCAACTGTACATGTCTGCAGAAATTAGAGTAAAAAGTTAAGGTGTTCTTGGAATTTAGGCTCTTCCAGGATTAAGTGACCACTGAACAGGGATTTTTTAGGATTCCAGTTTCAGATTTAGGTGCCTACGTTTTCCTACATCCCACTTCAGAGGCTTCAGTCCTATTTTGGATGTGACTTTAGCAAAGACTTTTACAAACCAATTAATTTCAGCTTCACTTCTGACATTATTACCCATTGTCTCAGCCAGCTTGCAATCTCAAGACGCAAAAGTGAATTATTAGCTTATAAGGAACAGAAAGATTATGTGATTTACCCAGGCCCACACAGAGTGTAAGAAGAGATGCTAACTGAACTAAGATCTTTTGAGTTTAAGTCAATACCTTAACCACAAAGTCACATTTCCTGTCAGCTGCATATAGGTATCCTCACTAGTATTTGAGCTGAATTCATAAAAGGTGACTTAAGTGGGGAAAAATATTAAAACTATTTTAAATCCTTAATCAAAACTCTGAAATATATTCAAATACTTGGTTTATAAGTGTATTTCTTCCTTTTTCTTATCTTTCCACAATTTCTGCCACCTCCTGTTGTTACACATACTTCAGGCCATTTTGTTTGTGAAATTAGAAGACAGGTTCATATGAAAGAAACCTGCACAAAAGTGTATCCCATGTGTGTGCTTTTATGTCAGTTCATTTGCAGATATAGCTAGGTAAATACCCTCACTAATGACTACTTACAGATAAATGTGTATGTGCCTAGCAAATATATATTCTTTTATATATATTAATGAAGCCATATATAAATGTGTGTATGTGTGCATATATATGTGTACACACACACATCTTAATGTACATACTCGTGTGTGTGTGTGTGTACAAGTCTATCTTAATCAAGCCATTGACAACTGTAGAAGAAACAAGGAATTCTGAATCTGTAACTTGAAACTATAGTATAGAAAATTGTACCTAGCATGTATGCTGGATATTGAATATTTTTGTTCCCAGTTCCTCCCTCCCTCCCTTTCTCTCCCCACCCCACAATGGAATAACAGTAATGTAGCTTGTATAGCAATGAGACAGTACTGCAATTTATGGCATGGATTAAAAGGAAGAAGACTTCTGCCATACACTCCCTTAGTTTTCACGTATTTTGTGCCTTAGGCACATGAGTATAGGAGTTGCTCAGTCAGAAATACTGACTGTCATGACTCTGCTTCTGATAGCCAAATGTGGCACATCCCAAGGGTTTGGGAAATTTATTTTAATATAAAGTATTTGTAAAGCAAAAAAAAAAAAAATTGCACCTGAAAATCCACATGTACAATCTGGCTGCCAAAAGGATAGGTTTCCATAGTGATTAAATTGGGCTGTTCTACCATTACCAGGCTCTGGCTATGCTTGCTTCTATCTCGGTTTTGAACTCTGCTTCAGAATTGCAAATATCTACTTGTCGGTGCATCCCACCTTCAAAGACTTAAGGGTAATACATCTATTACACTTAGGCCTCCTCTGCACATGCAGATAAATGTGTGATGGGATATAATACACGATTCACACAATCATGTCTCCTGCCATGCCACATGTGCATGGCAGGAGATGCAATTGTGGGATTTCACATTTGATCCCATCACGCCTTATTGCTGGTGCAGGGGGAGCTTGATTGTGGGTTCTTCCTGCACCAGCAAGAAGTAGGTTCCTGCATCTGGAAGCCCCCTGAGTGAAATCCCTTGGGTGGTGGCGATCGCGGCAGCCATAATTCCCAGGGCTCAGGGGTGTGTGAAATCCCTGATTTCTGGGAATCACAGCTGCTTTGATCCTCAGGGCCTGGGGGTTCACATTGGGCATGGTACACCCATGCAGCTGGGAGCCCTGTCAGCTGATAGGGCTCCCAGCCTCAGGGAAGACCCTGCTACGTGTGCAAAATAAAGCTGGATACCTACCAGCTATAAAATTAAAACATATTTTCAAAGTTTAACTTTATAGTTTGTAGGAGCTTTTTATCATGTGCTAAGTCATTTGCACGTGTGGCTGGTCTTAAAGTCATTGCACAATTACTTAGTTAATTGTGCAATACCTGTAATGTGTACATGGGCCTTAGAGGCCTATATCTGATGCAGCCTCATGGCCACTGTATACCTAATTTAAATGGATAGAATCACACTTGTAAGTGGGCTGCTATATGTTTCCAAATCTGCCCAAATAGACAAGAGACAGCAAATCTGGTCTGATATGTGTGAGAAGAGGTTGTATACCCACCAAACTGCACAGCTGCTGAGGCTTTGCTAATTGCTGCTGAACAATGGTGCTCAGCAGTTCAAAACCTTTTCTCACTACTCATTGCTTTATAAGATCAAGTTCAGGAACAAGCTCGACAGAAAGTCTGTATTCTATCAAAAAAATATATGTATATAGTGCCTATAGCTTTACATGGATGAGAAATCCCATATGGTTCAGAGGATGTAGCTTCTATCACAGTTCCCACGGGACTAGACATCTTTTATATATAAATACCTATTCAGTAAAATAAATCAGTTCCAAGTACAGACATGATTTATCTTCTTCAATAAACCTTGGACCTTATGAGAAAATTTATCAAATATTGCCCAAAAAATCTATTCACATACAGGAAAATGTTTCCATCTACTATATGACTCTGTGGCTGTTTCCAGGAGTTCCTTTGTGGCTGGGCTGCTTATGTTCTTCAAAATGTAAATGGGAAATCACATGTTCCATCGTTTTGCAAATGTCAGTGTAATTTTTCACAAGCGTGCAAAGCTATACACTCTCCAACCAGCAAAATATTGATTCTTTTTGCCTATTTCTTTATTCATAGTGAAATATGTATGTTATTGCTTCAGTTTAAAAAATACAACACTTTTCCAAACACCTTCACTCAGGGATCAGATACGAAAGAAATGTTTGTTTCTGCTATGTGCAAGTGGTTTAATTCCACCTCGGATAAGTAATGATAAAACTACTTTATCATCTGACAGTTATTCACTGACCTGCTACTGTAGGCCTACTCATAAAGCTGGTCTAATTTATTCTAGTATAAATTACTGGTTTCAGGCTACTACATTACAGACACTGACAATCTCAATCAGAGACCAGGAAATAAAGGGGCATGGAGAACCAATTTTCCTCTATATTCCTATGAATAGTTCCTCCAAGTCAGAGTTGAAGTACATTGGGAGAGTAGCATATGGAAAATAGCAATCAAATGCACGGTGCCATATTAGTTCAGGGGATGACCCAATATCAGTTACTATTACTGTGACTCTGGAACCTCCAACTTTAAAAACAATAGGATTCATTTACTTAGCATATTTTAACTATAAACCTATATTATTTTAACAATATAGAAAGAAAATTCAATTAATGTGGTTTCCATAGGCAAATGAAAAATGAAAATCTTTTTTTGTTGATATTTCAAAAATGGGAATATAAGTTAAACTAATTTTTCTGCGAAATTCTGTGTTTTGTAACTAAAATAATGTTTGGATTTCTGAGAAGCTTGAAAGGAAAGGCAAATTGAGTCTAACAGTTGAAGAGGAAAAAATGACACAGGCCCAAGTTCTTTAACCCTAGCACAGGAATAACTTTCTGCATGTGAGAAGCCCTAAACTAATCATGGTCATATAAGGCATGTCTAAATTTAATGCACAATAGCTTATGCACGTTAAGGTGATTTAGGTTTGTATCTACACATCCATGCATTAAAGTACATCAGTGTCATGTGTGCAGACTGACACGAGACTAAAGTTAGTTTCAAGTCAGTCCATACACAGTGTTAATGCTCCTTAATGCATTTACATGTGCATTAATGCACTTTAGCTATTCACGCCTAAATTTGATACCTGCTTTTGCCTAAAATCACCATTTTTAAGGTACATTAAGGGCGCACACATAGATGCACACCCTTAATGTGCCTTAAACTAGGCTAAAGTGCCTTAAATTGGCACATGTAGACATGCCTTGTATCCTCTTCCAGAAGTAACACCAAATTCCTGATCTTCATCTAACAATGTCTTCTGTCATTTCAGGAAGGCTCTCTTTAGTGAAATATACTTAAAATACTTTTCATTAGTATGGACAGAAGTGATCACTGGTGTTTGGATATGAGCATGAACTTGAAAAATATAGGAAGCTCTAAGTTGGAGGAAGCTGTCTGAAAATTCTCTCTTATCAAACATACAATGGAAAAGGTCTTGATGGACAAACACAAATTGACCTAGAATATCCTTTGTTCCAAGAGCCATGAAAACTTTAATAGAGGAGTTGTTTTGGCACACAACTCTGTGAATTTATGTTCAAATGAAATCAACTATCCTCCTTTGCTTCAGAGATCTGTTACTGTTGTTTATTATTACAATTCATAGGCAGGAGCAGGTTTGACTTAAGCTAGAAAAGTAGCCACCCTGGAGACACATTTTGTTTGGTTAAGGCTCATCAGTCAGTTAAGATTTTTAAACATTGCCATGTTGTTCAACTTTGTGTGCTCTACCATTATGCTCTATTTTGTTTGATGTATATTTTTTTTCTATTATGACCTTTATATTTCACTGTAGGCAAAAGAGGAAACTAGTGATATTCAGAAGGAATGAAAAGTTGATGTATATAATATTGAAACAAAAAATACCCAAAATAAGAAACAGGGTTAAAAGTTAATAAAGGAGTAATATGCATTAGAATTGAGAATGATGGTATCTGAGCTAAAACATTGTGTTTCTTGACAATGGATAAAAAGTTCCTTCATGTGCTGTGTTGACTGTGGGAACCTGCATATAGGTTCAAAAATCTAATTGTCTTGACTCAACATGAAGATGGTGCATAGTAACAGAAATATCAGAATAAGCCTACTGGGGCTGTATAAGCTCCCATTGCCAAGAAGACCAGCGACCTCTAGGTGACTGAAGACTGGTGGTAGCTTGGCCCTTCTGCAAGAAGGAGGTGGAGGAGATGCTCTTCCGCACCTTCCTGGAATGCCCCCATGTGTGGCCCTTCTATGTCACCCTCTGTGCCAGACTTAGACTTCTACAAAACTATGTACATTTTCTCTTTCCCATACTGAGCAGCTGAAGAAAGCGTGATCTGCTTGACCAATTTCTTGCAAGGCCAGGCCAAGATAGTGACCCTGAAGAGCATCAGAAACTAGCTCATAGGAGCTGGCTCTGATGATGCTCTCCATCTCTTCCAGTTTCTGACCTAGGCACATGCCTCCTTGGAATTCAGACACTTCACCTTACAATAGAATGTGGGTCATTTTGTTATGCTGGATGGATGGCTAGTTCTAAATGTGTTACTTCATGAAGGATGTTGAGGCCTGGGCAGTTTCAATGTCTGGTGATACTGGTAATTTGTTACTAATGAACAGGGATCCGGGTTTTCTGTTTCCCATGAAAAAAAGGAAAAAACCACAGATTTCCCCTTTTTATCAGAGAAAACACAGCTTTCTCCTTTTAACAGAGACACCCATGGAGTCCTTGCTTTTGCTTGCTCCTGGCTGAGCTCCAGCTTGCAAAAGCTGTTTGCAAACAGGGCAGGAAACAGCAGCCCTGCCGAGAGTGGGAGGGGAATGACAGGGCCTGAGACTCTCAGTGAGCCATGGCTCCATTGGGCTCAGCTCAGCCTTACTCTTCTCCTGGAGCCTGAAGTAAGTGGGGCTTGCAGGGGGCTGGGGGCCCCTGTGGCAGGGCTGGGGGGTTGCAGTTCATGGCAGCTGGAGGCACCGCAGGGCTGGGGTGGAGACAGGAGCTGGCCCTGGCCCCACCTGAGCAAGCATATCAGTAGGGGAGCCAGCTCCATGCTGCTTCTGCTGCAGTTGCCTTCTGTTGGAGGCAGAAAGCTGCATATTTGGGGCCCTGGCCCCATAGCCCTGGAAGCTGGTGGCCCCTCTGGCAGGGCTGGGGAGCAAGGGCTGTGGATGGGGGGCAAGAGGCATGAATAGGGTGGCGGGGGCTGTTGTGGGGGCAGTGAGGGGCACCAGCAGTACTGGGGGGGCTTTGGGGTCAGTGAGAGGTGGCGGGGCAGCTATGGGGACAGTGAGAGGCAACAAGAAGGTTGGAGGATGCTGCAGAGGGCTTTTAATTTTAATAACAGATTTTGGGGGTTTTGTCAGAGAATTTGTGAATTTTTTTATCAGAGAAAGCCAGTGTACCTGCTAACGAATATGTCATGCTTGGTCCTTGGTGGGGTCCTTTGCATTTGCACTTTCAGCTTTTGTTTCTGGTAAAGTTGGGGTGATGCTGTAACCCTGACAGTTCAGGAAAAATAAAAGAGGCAAGGATTTTTGTGGATGCTATCTTTTATTGCACCAGTTGTATAGCTGGGAGGGACATAGGTACCCCAGTACCTTTTTCTCAGTTCTCCTGAGGCCTGGAAAAGAGTACTGTGGTACTGAAAGCTTGTCTATATCCCACCGAACAATATAGTTGGTCCAATAAAAGATACTGCCCACAAAAATCTTTGCTTCTCTGCTTTTGTTTTTGATATTTTTATTATTAAATTTTAAAGAGTTCAAAAAAGTCATCCTAAGGCTAGTTGAAGAAAAAAATGCTGGGGGAAGTCTTCATTTTTTGCTTTCTTTCAGTACCATTAAGATATTCAGATGTGTTTGGTGCCATTGTGTTACTTTCTGCACAGCCTATGCTAAATCAGGGTTTGATACTTGTCTTGCTAAATATTTTTTTCTCTCCTAAGGTACTTTCCATGTGTGCTGCCCAGCAGGCTATTTCAGCTGAAGGATTGATATGAATGTAGGGCTATTTAATTTGAAGGTCCATATAAGAAGTTTGCCATCCATGCAGTTTTGTTACTATCTGGAAGGAAAGTTTTGACATATGAAATTGTCCACCCACCATTGAAAAATTCAGACATGCCTTATAATTATATGGAGAAACCTTATGGACTCAGCTGCAAAACTGACTGTCCAAAGCAAATAATGGAGAGTTGGCTGCATACTGTGTTCTACCTCCTCAAGGAAGACTTTATTTGAAAGGAAGGCGTTTGACTCTTATGCATTACCTTATGAAAAGTGCTATAATATTTAATGGAAAATGATAACCTTTCCACATGATTTGTGAAAAATTGCATTAAAAAACCTAAAGAATAGCATACTTGTTCTAGAATTCATATGATGAGTTAAAAAAATCTATAGAAAAATATTAATAAATGTTTTTAAATTCTAGAGATTTGTACAGTTATTATCTTAGAATCATAATGCATTATCCCAGTGCTATTGAATCGATCCATATTAAATGCTAAAAGATTTCTCCTGTTTTCTATTAAATTCTTAAATCTGTATGGAAAAGTGATATAGGACAATGGAAGGCTTGCTGGCTAGGATCTCAGGTGGGGGCTGGGCCAGGTCTGCACAGCAGAGGGGTGCCCTTCTCCTTCTGCCCCAGACTTGACAGCAGAAGCCAGGAACTGGGGCTACATGGGAGGAAGGGCGCCTGCTTGCTACACAGACTGTGCCTGGGCCAGCACCCCCTCAACATCCCACCCAGCAAGCTATGCCACGAGGAGACCTTCATGGCACAGGGGCTCCCTTTACCCTTAGCCCCATATCCTGGTGTGACAAAAAGCCAGGCTGGGTAGCCCTGTGATGCAGCTCCTGGCTGCTGCTGTTAGGAGGCTCAGGAGGAGGTGTGGGGGAAGGGTATGCACATGCCGTCTGAGGTCTCAGTGCGGGGCTGGGCCAGGTCCACATGGCAGGGTGATTCCCTTGCCCTCATCTGCCCCAAATTCTTGACAGCTGCAGCCAAGAGTTGCAGCACAGGATTGCTTGACTCAACTCTTTGCTGTACCAGGAACTGGGGCTGGGATGGGGAGGGGTCATCCTTACCACAAGAGGCCCTCTCCACAGCTTTCTGACTTTAGAGGGGGGAGACTGGACCAGGTCCGTGTGGCAGGGAACTCTCTTCTCCTCACCCTGGCCCTACTTCCTAATGCAGCAAAAAACTGGGGTGGGGAAGGGAACCCCTTTGTCATGTGGACCTGACCCCCTTGGAGATCTGAGCCAGCAAGCTGTGGGGGACCCTTCCCTATCCCTCCACCCCCCATGCCTCGGGGTGGAGCAGGGGGGGGCACTTTTTAATTAGATCAGCTCCGAAAGCTGCTCTAATTAAAGCACACACATTGTCACATGTATTTAGTGTCCTGTGCTTCAAAATGGTGCTGGGGGCACATTAATAGATGTGACACAGAGGCTGCTGCAGTGCACTAATTAGCATGCTCCAGCAGGCTCGATTAATTGAGTATGCTCCGATTCATGCTACTTAGCATGTGTTGGAACAGACATCCGGCATGTGTATAGGTGCCCTTATATTGGTCTTGCTGGACCCAATGTAAGTTAAACTACCATGAAGGTAGAGTTAACTTATATTGGGTCAACCATTTCTTGGCTGATCTGACTGTCCTGAACTTCTGAACAGTTCACACTTAGATTGATCCAACTAGGGATTTAAGTGTAAGGTCTGCACCTGGGTGAACTAAGTTAGAATGGGTTAGGTAGCCATTTTTAATGTGATCTAACCCACTGGTTCCCAACCTGCAGACTGGCACAGGAGCGGGCTGGGGTGCATGGAGCCGGCTGCCTCTGTCCTGGGGCTGACCCACCCTCCAGCTTTAACCTAACACATCACTGCTGGCGGCAGAAGCTGCTCACTAGGGTGGATGGACAGAGTCCAAGTGGGGGGCTCATGCTGCGACCTGGTAGCTAACCCTTCATGGCCCGGTACTGGGCCATGGCCCAGTGGTTGGGAACCTCTGATATAACTGCCCCAAATATCGGTATGTAACCTTAGTGTTGGCTCTGCCATTTTTAAAGCACTTTAAGTGTCATGCATGTATGTTCTGTTAGTGCTTTAAAGCACTTTCTGAATGCTTAATGTGCATTAAGTGTAATATCTCTGAGCACCAGAAATGCCCTGTAGATGACCAAAATATAGCCACTTAGGCCTCCAGGAGAATAGAATGAATAGAATGTCACCCTTAATGATTAGAGGTAGTGGCAAATGGAAAGAACATATGTTGTAAAACATTCACATACATTAAAAAAATTGATAATAAATGTGATCTACTATTGGTCTAAAAGTATAATACTATACAGCTGTTTCACCATACATACAAGTAGTTTGTAGTGTTATAAAGTAAACTGGATTGTGTTCTGGCATTTATAGCTAAGTGTGTGTGTGTGTGTACATATACATAGTGATCCAAGAAGGGTTACTGGAGACAATTCTTGTGGACTCAGAGATGTGCAAACACATTACTATTTTCATGCACAAAGGTCATTTTGTACTTTTCTTAATTATGCATGCAGCTATTTGCATGCCCACAGCTTGCAAGCATAATTTTAATGGCTTCTTTGACAGTTTAGTGTTTCTCTGCTATAGGTGTTTCACTTCTGTGCACAGCAGTGCTATCCCACAAAAATTATTTTTTTAGTTAATCTGTTACTTGCATAATAGGTGTAGAGCAGTCTACATATAAGAACTAGCCATCAAGAATGACGGAGGATTGGGTGGGGACGGAGTGCTGCCACCCATGATGCTGCCGCTCTGTGTACAGCTGTGCAACCTCCCCGCCACTCCACGTATGGCTCTGTGTGCCCATCCGGGCCCACCCCTCCCAGCACTCCGCATCTGGCTCCACACCACCCACCCCACTCCACATCCACCTGGCCCACTCCACTGGAGCCATGCCCCACCCATCATTATTGCTGGGTATTCTTCCGGCAGCTTCTGATGTAGCTGCACCCTCTCCCTGCCTCCCTGCTCCCCTTCTTCCCTACCTGCCACCTCCTACTCCCTGCCACCTGTTTTCGGGATGGTATGATACGGTGGCTCCCTCTCCACCCCATCTGCCTCTTTCCCCTCCCCCAGAGCACTGGGGCCTCGCTTGCTTCCCTGCCTGAGGCAGCAGTGGTGGCAGTGGCTCCTTCTTCCCCATCACCTCCGCCTCCTCCCCTGGAGCAGCGGGGCCTCTCCAGCCTCCCTGCCAGAGGTGGTGGTGGCAGCAGAGACTCCCTCACCGCAGCCTGCCTCCACCTTTGCCTCCTCCCCCAGAGCAGTGGGGCTTCCCCCTTGCCTGAGAAGGCGGAGCCCGCACAACCAATCACTGCTGGCCCTCTCAGTGGCACATGCACAGTTACCCAAAAGTGTTACAAATAGACAGACAAACACACAAATAGACACACAGACAAACTAAGCCCTTCATTATATTAGAATTATAGCTGAGCAGACTATTGTGTTTAATTTAGATGTCTATATTTTGGGTGGTGAGTTGAGGCTGCCTTTATCAAGAGTTTAATTTCAATTAAATAAGGATAGAATTTCCAAGTTTGTAAATGAAATTAACATTTCAATGGTTCCTAGCGTTACTGTTATTATAATAAAGCTTGGCAATATAGTTCAAGCAGGCTATCATGTAGAAAGAAGCTTCATTTGATGACTTAGTAGATCACATGATAGGAATTTGCATACTGTTGCATTGTTTAAGCTGAGATCTGAGACATTGAAAACTGAACTTTTGGAAAAGAACAATAGCACCAACAATAATAAAAATTCTCTATAAAAATATCAGACTCTCTGTGGTTTCCAGATTGCTGCCAAAGACAAACAGCTGGCTCCCTGCATATCCCTAGATGAGCTCAGCTATAGTTAGGCATCATTTCTGAGAGGCCACTGAGCTCCTGGTATCCTCGGACAGTAAGAAGGATTTATTGAAGAAATATTTTTTTTTCAACCAGCCTCTGCAGAGCAACAAAGCTGTCAAAAAGAATATTTTCATGTTCTAACCTTTGACAAATGGAAAACTATTCTGGCAAAGCATTCTGGGCAGCCCTGCTCAGAAGCGAGGAGTTAAGGCACAGTTCATTCATCAGAACGTTTGCAATGCACGATGCCAAAACTCATCTCTTCCCTAAACTGCACAGGCAGTATCACCATAGGAAAGGATGGCTTCCTGCATCTTCATAATACTCCACCATGCAGGCATCAATTTGGAGCTTCGCTGCATGAGCAGGAAATCATTCAGTTATGGCCATTACTACTCATTCTGTCAGTCTGTTGGCCGCACTTGGGCTGCTTGAAGCTGTTCTAGAGAAAGACTGCACTGATAAGTCAGCTACTCCGAGCCCGTAAGTATAAACTTGAAAATGTACTTTTTCCTTCACTTGCAAAGGCGTTCAAGAATAAACTGTGTGAAAAATACAATGTCAAGTTGTTGCATTCTTATTCTAAGCCTGGTTCTTCACTACCTTACTCCCTATTTTTGAAGTATTTTTGAAGCATTAGTGAGTCTGAAAGAATTTTTTTTTCAGTAGCTAACATGGTGAGTTATTCCTTTAAGAAAAGCTTTAGTACAAGCTAGGGAGATAGAAAAGCACAGTTACCCTGGCATTAATGCCTATGTAACTGAGGGCAAAAGCTGTCCTGAGATTACCCTCAAACTACTGCTTGGAAATAGGATTCTATTCTTTGTACAAAAGGCTTGACACAGAGCATGGGGTGGTAGGAGATACAACTAGAAGACAACTGCCATAGAGAGAAAACTGGGTTAGGAGGCATTAGGTTATGGGTTCCAGATAAACTGTATGCCCCCCTTTCTTTACATTGTGTCTTACTGTCATTTTATGCTATGAGAAGATGCATAGTTTCACTTCAGAATTTTTTTTCCCCTGCCATTTTGTGTTTCATTTCTTTGGGAGAAGTAAGGGTGTTTGTTTTTTGGGGTTTTTTGTATCTTTTATTGGATCAACTGCATAGTTCAGTGATGTTAATCAAGCTTCTGGGCACAAAGTGTCCTTCTTCAGCTTTGGGTCTTTTTAAATATGTTTTTATTACATAATTGTTTACTTTTTAACTTCTCTCCTTCATATGTAATTTCAGGATTACATCATTC